CTGGCATGCTCCACCCTGGCATCCACAGCGGTCAGGCAGACCAGGCTCTGCCACGGGGAGTCTGCATGAGCAGCCACCCTGCTCTGTTCCGCCACAGCAGTCCCAGCCCATGGCTGCACCAGGCTCTGCCAAGGGGTCAGCACACAAGCAGCCACATTGCGCTCTGCTGCGGCACCCCAGGAGGGTGGTGGGACCAGGCTCTGCTCTTGCGTCCCTACGCAGGCAGCTGAGCTTTGCTCTGTCATGGTCAGCCAGACTAAGCATTGCCATGGTATCCCCATGGGGGTGGTCGTGCCATGGTCCACTGCAGCGTCACATTATTTGCAGCCAGGCCAGATGCTGGATTTCCTTCCAGGCTGGAGAGGGAATGCAGGAGACTATGCTGGCCCCAGTCTGTGCTCCTGTTGGAGGCAGTGCCCTGCACTCTCACAGCTTCTCCTGCTCTGCGATGCGGCTTTCCTTGCCATCCTCCTGGGCCACAGGCTGGCCCCTGAGTAGGGTCTCCTGCACAGGTAAGATTTCCTCCACTTCCACGGGCTGCTGGGGCTCCAGGATCTCTCTGGGCTTCACAACCTCTATCTGCACAGGGGCAGAGGTCAGGGACAGACAGCTACATCCCCCCACCTCTGCAGCCACATCTTTCCACAGGCTCCTGCTACATTCCCATGCAGGGCAGGGACTCACCCTGTGTGGCTCCCTCCTGTCTCAGAATTTGCCAGCAGCAGCCCAGGGTTGCCCCAGCCCTTGTCTTGTTCCAGCCAGGCAGCCCTAGGACAGCCCCCACCCCTCCTGCCCTGCAGAGCCACAGCCCCTGCTCTGTTGTTGCTCTCTGCTGCTGGCACATCCCCAGCTATACCCAGGAGGGACCCTGACCTGCTGCTGGAGGAGGGCTCTGGACAGACTCACCTCCTGCACCCGTCGCCTGGGATCTGGATGGAAAGAGGGACAGAGAAGGCAATGGTCAGGGGGGAGTGCTCCTGCCCTGCAGTAAGCTCTCAGGGGTCAGAACCAGGGCTAGTGCTGCTGCACCACAGGTCCTGCAGCTCACATTGTGCCTGCTGCCACTGCCAGGCTAGAGAGGCTGGGGGCCATGGCAGGGGAGCCCAGCTGGACCCACAGGGCACTGGCACTGGCCCAGCTTGGGCTGCAGCAGTGCAAACATGCTGGCTCCCAAGGACAGAGCCCACTGACCCAACAGGGCAATGGGCTTGGGGAGCCATGCCCTGGCAGTGTCCCCAGAAGGGCTGCCCTGCTCTTGGCAGAGCTGCCGCAATCCTCCCTGCTCAGCTCCTTGGCCCTGTATGGCCCCTCTGGCCAAGGCATTGCTTCCTGTGTCCCAGCCACTTACTTGTGTGGACCAAGCAGTAGATGCAGATGCCCACGAGGCATGTGACGACTGCAGCCATGATGGGGATCAGCACCGACAGTGAGGAGCGCTTGCTTGACTCTGCTGAGGGAGATAGGGTCAGTGAAGGAACCTGTGTGACACCCTCACTGAGACGCCCAGTGCCCCAAGCTGCCTCTGCTCCAGGCCCAGTCCCATGGGGAATCCCTCACAGGGACAGAGAGGAGCAGGAAGGCATCACGCCAGCAGTGTGGTCAGACCCTCCTCTCCCAAAAACACCCACAGGCCAGGCCAGGCCAGCTCCTGAGAGCTGTGGAAGCCAGAGTAAAATATCTTTGCTCTGCACCGGTCCAGCCCAGGGCACCAGGCACTTACCGCAGATCACATCTGAGGTGCTCGTCCCTTTTGCCTTCACCACCAGTCCCTTTTCCTCACAGCTGCAGGGAAGAACAAGACCGTGTAACCACAGCACAGTCTGAGCACGTGGAAAGTCCCAGAGGAGGAACAGCCAGGGCTGGGCAGCCAGCAGAGCTGCACAAGGAAGCATCCTGCACTCAGCCTGCCAGGCTCTGGAGGGGCCCATGCTGCATAACGGGGACACCAGGTACACAGCAGGACCCCACCCTGTGGTCCCGGTCTGGAGTTGCTGAAACTGCTGAAGATGGGGACAAGGCACAGGAGGGAGCGGATATTTGAGGCTTGCCCAGTCAGGGAGACCCCAGGGCTCAGGCACTGCAGTTATTGCAGAACAGCACAGAGATGACTCGATGACAGGCTACAAGTGGCTCCATGGGGAAGTAATTTCTGGGCACAGATAAAAGCAAAGTGAAATCCAATGGCTGGCAGCTGAAGCGAGACTAATTCAGCCTGGAAATAAGGCTCACATTTCTACCAGGGAGTGCAATTAACCCTCCAGCAGCTTTCTAAAGACAGGGATGACCTGCCAGCCCATGGCATCCTCAAAGCCAGGCTCCCCACGGAGAGGGCTGGTGCCTCACCTGATGACTACAGCCAAGGAACATGCTGGGAGGGAGAGCCTGGACAGGGCATGGGGGGGTCCCTGTAGACTCTCATCCCTCGCTCCCCAGTGTGGATGACAGCATGGGCATCCCTGGAGGGGGCAGCACTTTGCAAACATGCTGAGGGATAGTCACAAGCACCTGGATGTCTGCCTCAAGCTCAGTCATGCTGTCCTAGACCTCACCGCCCTGACAGCTCTGCTCCTCTTGCTCCTGCCCTAACACCAGCCTGATGGTATGTCCCTCAGAGACCATCCTGGCTGCCTGATCCCCAAGGCTGGCAGCAGAGGACATGCTCTTGGGGACTGGGCACAGCTGAGGATGGGTGAAGGATGTGGTCAGCACTCAGACAATACCTTGTCCAGGGATAGCATGGCTCAGTTTTAGAAGAGACATTGGAGAAGGTGCCTTCTGCACAGGGCTCACAGGGGGATGACATCCGGGCCAGGGCCTTGGCTGGAAAGGAGAAGAGGTTGCAGGAAGGTCAGTGTGGGCTGCGGGGGTCAGGCAAGCAGCCCTCCCCATGGCAATGCTGCCAGGCACAGTGGCAGGCAGAACTCTCCCAAAGCTCTGCTAGGGGCACCTTGCTGGTAGAGTCCCCCTTCCCCTGGAAGACCCAAGGTCAACACTGCCAGGGCTTCAGTCCCACTGACAGGGAGGAACTGGTCGGACTCACCTGCCACGAAGCCGAAGCCATGCTGGCAGGGCTGGTTCTCCACGCAGGTCTGGCAGCTGGTGTCAGAGCAGTGCATGCCAGCCCGGCACTCACACACAGTGTTGTGCGTTGCATTTCCTTGTGTCTTCACGATGAGGCCAGCATCTGGGCAAGGTGAGCACAGGCAAGGTGAGGCACTGGACAGGTGAGCCTGGGGGGACACCAGCCGCTGTAGCCCCCACAAGCTGGGGCCAGTGGGCACAGGGAGCACACTTACTGTCTTCACAGATATCGTGGGGGGCACAGTGCCTCTCCTTGGTCCAGCTCTGCTGATAGTGTCCACTCTCACAGTGGACACAGACCGAGTGTTCTGTGCCACTGCATTCGGAGACCAGCTTTTCCCCTGCAACAGAGGCTGGTGAGGAGGGGGCAAGGGGGCTTTCCCTCTCTCCAGGCAGCAGCTCTGCCAGCAGGACAGAGGAGCGCTGGCAGCTGTGGATGCCAGGGCTGCTGCAGCATGCTGCTCAGTAGCCTGATGTCGCTCTGGCAGCCAGGGATGCAGAGGCCAGCTCACCCAGTGGCTGCACAGGTCTGGGTGGAGAGGGGGGTGGGAGTGGCTGTTCACTGCACTCCAAGGACTTGGAAACAATCTGACAGGAACAGCAGGAGCTGACAAATACCATCATGATCTGGTAGTGCCAGTGGCTAGCACCCTCCCTGCAAGCTGCCCATGCCATGGGGTCCTGTGGCTGCAGGAACACAGGCAGTCCCAAGAGAGCTGTGGCAGTTTTGGTGAGATCCAGGGGGTCTCTCAGGGCACCCATGAGGTCCCCAGTTACTCTAGCACTGAGGTGACACAGGGAGGTGAAGCTATTGGCACTGCTGGCAATGGGGTGGGGGTGGGACTCAGTCACATCGAGCTGGGCTTGCTCCGCTGTGGCTGGGCAGTGGGCACTGGCGCCTCAGGAAGGGGAAGGGGTCTCCGTACCTGGCTGACAGCGGTTACAGCACCTGCCCTTGTGTTCATATTGCCTGTCAAGGCATGTTACAGCATCACCAGGTTCCCAGCACTGGAAGAAACATGACCTGTGAATTCATGCTGCTCCTCAGCGCTCCAGCATTGCCTCGCTTCTTGCAAGCACATGTGTACTAGCCTGTGTGCTAACCCACGTCCCGAGGTGAGGGCTTCCTCACACTGCTCTTCCCATGCCTGTGCTAACCACAGACCACAGCAGAGCCGCCTGCGCCACCTGATGCCATCAGTGCTCTCTTTGAAGTGGGGTGGCAGTGATTCCAGTAGGGCGTCCCCACGTTTCCCCAGATTTCCTAACACTGATCTCACGCTGCCCTGTGCCCCTGCCAACAGCACTGTGGTCCCGAGCAGGGGGAACAGTGTTAACTGAGCCTCCGCAGAGCACTGCTAGCCCCTTCCCAAGGCTGATGCACCAGCCCTGAGGGGCAGGAAACCCCCAGGCAAGTATATCATCCATGCAGTCAGCCAGGGCCCTTCCTTGCTCCCCCTAGCAATGGGCTGTGTGCACAGGGAAGGGTGGAGAGGAGGCAGGGAATCAGATCTTGGGCCAGTCTGGGTGCAGGAGGGCACCCACAGCACCATAACCCCACACAGAGCAGTCCCCATGCTGCCCACCCCCAGCAGACCCACCTGAGCCTGGCTGTCCCAGGGAGCAGGATGGGAGCTCCGGCAGAGCCCTGGAGCAAGATGAACATGGGGCTGCGGCAGGCAAGGGAGGGCTGGGCACAAGGGGTGCCGCTGCCCAGCACAGCCGGGTGCTGCAGACCCCCACAGGGCCCCTCGGGCAGCCCTGGCTCAATGGGGCAGCAATGGGGCTGTAGGGCACGGCAAGGTCGGACCGGGGGATGCCTGACCCAGCACAGAGA